TTAAATGCTTAATTATCTTTCAATATATCCTTGATATGATTCTCTTGTTCGTCAAAGATCTACCTCGCGTTTTAATTTCCTAAGTAATTATTATTTATATTCCCTTAATTTTAATATTTCTACCATATTTTCGAAATCGTTCCACTTTTTACTTAAAATTTCTGTTCAATACTTGAATATGTTTAAGAGAAATACTTAATCGATATAATAATCCCCCATTTAACTTCATCTGACAGATGTTTTGGAAGGTATGTTTTATTGCCATTTGGTTCCTCTACATCCATTTTTATAGAAATATTTCTTTTAAGCTAAAAATCAATCTATTTTTAATCCAAAGCTATATTCAAGTGTTTATTGTTATTCTTCTTATTCTTATTATGCTTTTTTATTTGAGATTTATATGAAGACTACAATTATAAATATAAAATATTAGAAAAATCAATGAAATTTGACAAGCAAAATGGAAATAAATAATCAAATTCTCAAAAAAATCTCAATTTTTGTATAAACTGTATTTAAAGATATAGGATAGATGATGCCAATTAATATATATCAAGTTATAGTTCATATCGAGTTCTACAAGAAATAATATAGGTTATATAATGAACATATATATGGAGAAATGAATAGACTTCTTTCCATTTGTTTGGGATTGGTGATAGATGGGGAATTATCTTTTGAGTTAAAATTTGATTAGATTCTTTAAATAACACCCGGTGGGAGAGCTGATAGTTGCTGTGTGTTTGGAGTTTATGATTAAATAACCTGAGGTATTTAAGAATTATCTTTGTTAGGAAGAGAAGGTGGATTATTGTTACTAACATTATTAGTACTATTACTATTTGCAACTTGATCTGCATTATTATGATTGCTATTTTAAGCTTTTCTTTTTTTATTTTATTTTTAGGAAACAGCATCGTTATTATTCGCCACTTGAGGCTAATGAAAACCAACAACTTTTTTTTTGTTTGTTAATTCATATGCATTTTCTATCTCCATAATATTTGATATTGATGGATCGTTATATATAAAAACATCACAAAGCAGATCAAAATTTTCTAAAATGCTCAAAATTTCTGAAGATTACTAAGTTTGTTAGCGCTTAACTTTAGCATGGTAATCTAATTCTTCAATTTCTAGCTTCATTTTTTCAATTTATATTGTAGCCTTTTCTATTTGTTACTGAATTTAATTGTGTTCCTGTAAAGCATCTTTAATATCCATTTTATAGCATTCATAATTTCCCTTTCTTTTATTTAAAAATTCTTTTTTTTGTTCTTCGTCTGCAGCTATAAATTTATTCATTACACTGCATTAATTTTTCATGCTACTTTCTTATTTTTCATATTGTTCTAGCTTTTCACTTAAATCATTTAGTTATGTATCATAATTCTTAAGTAGCAGTTAATTATTTTGTATTTCTCTTTACAAAACAAC